GAGCTGGTGATACAGATGGGTGCCTGGAGAGTGCTGTGCCATACACTGAGCAGCTGAACGTGGAGGGCTGACATGTGTCTTGCGGGTCAGTTGCAGCTAAGGGAATGACTTACACCAGTCTCCTGAGGCTGGATTCTTCTTCTTGCCAAGTTACTGTCACACAATGAAGGTTGACTGCATGCAAACACTTGGCCCTGCTTTCCACTTTGTAGTATTTGCCTGTTTACCTTTTGAAGACCACTATTAAAAATCACCAGTAATCTTCCCTTGCAAATTATAGTTTGCTTCAATTAAAAAAGTTTTAGAACCTCAGCTACCAACTGGCCAAAATGGTGTTTTAGAAAAGAGGCGTTCATTTCAGGTCACAATCACCTGCATCTTCTGAGTGACTGCCAAGCCGTGCTGTACCTTCACAAGTACAGCTGTCTTACAAAATAGAAAACTGAGATTTTTCTTTTAGTTCATTTATTAATTGATCACTATCTTCCCAGCTTCCCCAAATTAAACAATATTCCTGACTCAGAAAATACAGCTAGGGGATTAGGAATTGTCAGGCATCTTTAGCTATATGAGACTTGATAATAATAATAATAATTGTAAAATGCAGTATTTCTGACAGTTAATAAAAACTTAGAACCAGGGTGCTGCACGCCTTTAATCCCAGCACTTGGGAGGCAGAGGCAGGCAGATCTCTGTGAGTTCGAGGCCAGCCTGGTCTACAGAGAGAGTTCCAGGACAGGTTCCAAAACAATACAGAGAAACCCTGTCTTGAAAAACCAAAACCAACCAAACAAACAAATAAACAAACAAACAACAACAACAATAAAACCAACACAGAACCAAGCATGGTAGATCATGCCAGAATCCTAGAACTTGGGAAACTGAGGCAGGAGGATTTCTGAGACTACAAAGTGAGATTCTGTCTAAAAAGAAAAATTAATATTAAATCCTTCAGTATATTTTAGGTGATTAAATAACAAGAAATTGCTTTTCAAAACTTGTTTTACAGCTATTCCACACTGACACATACAGACCAGTGGATATCCCGTGGCTGTGTTAAGTACACTGGAAATCATCAGGGCGTTGACTGCTTTGTTTAATAAAAGTTTCTACCCATCTTTGTCCATTTCAAATTGTTGTGTAGAGATTCAGACCATTCCTTACTTAATCTAAAGCCCTATTGCTCTTAGGCTGACCACTGAAATTTCTAAACAAGTTGCTAATGGAACTCTGACAGTCTAATGATACTCATAGAGTGTTTTTCTTACCATCTCCCAAGAACTACTCCTTTTTCCGTCTCTTTGGAATAATTTGGCAGCTTGTGATTGCAGTTGTACTTCTTGGTATGTGATGGACTTCTGTCATAACGGAAAGTATTGAGTTTGGCTTGGCTAGGATATCATTCCTTCTCTCAGTATGACGTTCTTCATAGGACGGCCATGCTGGCAGCCCCGTCCGCAGTAATTGCTTTCCATCTTCATTGTCTGTCCCTGCCCAGATGAGCCTCCTCATAGACACGGCTCTTGCCACTGGGCACTCCCAGACTGCCCTGTGCCCTCTTGACTCTGGTCTGCCAGTCCATCTCTTAGAACATCTGTATTCTTTCTTCAGGAAGAGGAACTGCTTGGGTGGTTTTTTGTTTTGTTTTTTCTTCTCACGTATTGCTAATATCATCCCAGTTTTCCTGAGAAAGAGCAACTGAGCTCAGGATAGCAGTTGAGAATGGCCTATTGATGAAGTGTTATTTGAGTTGCAGTTCCTTTTTTAAAAGTGCACAAGATGGCCAGATAAGTTCATGTGAGAGAGGAAGAAATTGTGTGTCAGTGGGAATTGAAAGTTCCAGCCAAGGTATGGTGTTGTATAAACATGTACTTGTTCTCAGGCTGTGTGGCTGTGGAGTGTGGAGAAATCTATCATAGCTGTAGCCAAATTAAGGTCATGGAAAAACAGAAACAAAACTCTAAGATTGACTTAGTCTAGAGCATTCTCAGACCATGGCATGCTTTTGAATAAGTGAGTGATAGATACTGTTGCACTCAGTGTTCTAGATGACCCCAGTGACTTGTAAGTTGTTCCCTGCTAGACTTAAGAAAGGACCGAAGCCGGGCGTTGGTGGTGCACACCTTTAATCCCAGCACTCGGGAGGTAGAGACAGGCAGATCTCTGTGAGTTCGAGATCAGCCTGGTCTACAAAAGCTAGTTCCAGTATAGGCTCCAAAGCTACACAGAGAAACTCTGTCTCGAAAAACCAAAAAAAAAAAAAAAAACAGCAGCAGTAATTTGAGATGTTTCACATGATCCATGAGGAGAGAGTAAGAGTGAAGATTTATATTGCTGTAAGTATTTAAAAGAAAAATGAGCAGACATCCCATGTCTTTCTTGAAGGATGTGTCTCTTGTTTTTTTGGCCACTTGTCTAAAACACGGTCTGACTCAGTAGCCCTGACCAGCCATGAATTGCTGGCACCCATCCACACTCAGTGATATTTTCTTTGTTACCATACTACAAATATCTAAAATACTGTTTTTTCATTGAATGTGATTTCAGACTTACGGTTTTGATTGCATTTTGAAAGCTGAATTAAAGAACTGTATTTATAGAAATGATAAAAACAAATGAAAAGATTATATTGCTTGGAGTCAGTTAAAATCATTTTAATGTTCTATAAGGAAACTTTATTATGAATATCATGGGCTTCTATGACTCAGTATGTCATATATAAAATTAGTTTGAATAGTTAAAATTACAGTTCAAAGGATAGTATCCAAGGCAATTAATAATGACAGTGTCACCCAGCCCTATTGGCTTACGATAAAGTATTTTTTTTAGCTTTATTTCCCTCAAAACTTCTGAATATTTAGATGTGTTTAGGTTTTATATGGAAGCATTACTCACTTATGTATTTATTCATCTTCCAGGTGAGACTGTGCCTTTCATGAGAAGACTTCATATTTCTACTGAGAACAGATTTCTATGTCTAAGGAATAAGAAGCCACTCAATCGAGGGGAGGGGAATTTAAGTTGCACACATTATGACAACCTTTAATTTGTTGTTGCTGCAATAAATATTGTATCATTTTGTTATATCTTTGTATATTTGGAACAGCTCTGTTATTGGACTCCATGCTGTTAGGGACAGCCTGGACTGGACTGGCTTTTCCATTGGAGATTATTTTAAGATGCTGTTTTCTGAAGAGCTTGTCCTTCCTCCAACCACATTAGTGTAACTTGTTTTCTTTTAAGTACTGATCAGTTGTTAATTATTTTTTGTCAGTGTCATAATTTAAAGAACTATAAGCCACAACTAACTGGTATGAAATAATAATTCAAATTCTACTTTACTAAAAATTTCCCATTTTTGTGGGGGAAAAAGCCAAATTTGTTACGTTGTTTTTGAGTTTTTAAATAGTAGAAATTGTCTGTGCTATTGTATGCAAAAGAATAAATGTAATTTAAAATTATTTAAGTGGTACAGACAATCTGTTTACAAAATAAACCCCCCTTGTTATATATTATCATGTGTGTTTCTTTATTGTATTTCTCTATACACTTAGTCCAAAATGTATTTTTCCCTAGCTTAGTGTCTCACACCTGTAAGTCCTGCACAAGGCAGGTTTCTCTGAGTTTGAGTCCAAGGATAAATGGGGCAAACGAGGTATAATGTCTTTTTAGAGATGAGATAGTTTGGAAATCTATGAATTTCAAAGGCATTTATAGTTTCATATGAGAGTTAATTACGAATCAGATTGTATGACTCTAAGTCTGAGTTTTCTCAGATACCAAGAGATTGAAATATTCCATCTGTAAACTTTAAAGTCAGGAATTTATGTAGAGATTAGCTTTCTTATCTCTCAGCAAATCTAATCTCACCCAGGTTTGATTTTACATATTTTAAATAGCAGAAGACTTAGAGAAAAGGCAAGGGTCATGAATGCCCTTGCTTGCTAGCATTAGTGAGGTCGTTGAAATGTGTGACAGAATGGGATAGTCCCCAGTCATAGTGGCTTACAATAAGGATTTATTTTTTAATTTATCAGCTATACTGTATGATCTCTAGTACTATTCTGTATTATTATTTCCAAGAAATCTACCTCAAATGCTAAACTTAGCTATTTTATAGGCTGCTGGCTCATGATGATGAATAATTTCAATTCTGCCCTTCTTGTATTGACGCTATGGCTACTCCCATTCAATAAGGCCTCAATAGATACTCCTCTAAAAAGAGAACAAGATCAAAAGAAAAATGGTTTTATTTTTAAATATAACCCAGGCCCATAATATCTCAAATACTATGCTAAAAAGTGTTCCTGTCACCACATTTCTCTGCTTTCACGGTTAAGTCTTTGTCAGCTATCCACCTGGAATATTTCATGTGGTGCATCACACTGTGGCTGGGGTTGTGGTCCTCGGGGGTTTTACCTGCACTGTGATGTCAGAGCAGCTTGCTCACGTGTCTGGGAGCTGACATTGACTGTTGGTGGAGAGTTCAACTCAAATGCTTAGCATGAATTTGGCAACTGGATTCTGAGATCATCCTAAGGAAGTGTGAAGACAGTAACATCTCTTAGGATTTCAGTTCAGATGTGTGTGAACATTGACTCTGGCACATTCTATTCATTAAGCCTGTCACCAAGATTAATTTAAAGTCAAGTGAAGGAAACTATAGTCTACCTGTTCACGTGAGAAACAGCACAAACACACAGAAGGAATCCAATGGTGGCCAGTTTTGGAGACCACCAATATAACCTGTCTGACTAGCAGGATTCATACCCCCTCGTGTGCACAGCAGACCAGTCTTTCTCCAGTGTTCCCCAGAGTATATCCCATTTCAGGCTTGGCTCGAACCCTAGGATTTATACATTTAAGTTTAAAGGGAAGATGAGGTCTTGGATGTAGTTAAGGAACTTAGATGCAGTTCCTCAAACCTGGTTTCTTGTTAAAAGAAATATAAACCAAAGAGGCAAATGATCTGTTCAACAGTCAATAGTGCAAGGGAGATACACAGGTTTGAAATTCATTAAAAATTCAAATTCTATTAACAGGTTAATGGAGGTACAGTTTAATCATAGTTATGCTTATATATTTCTATGGACTACTAAGTGGCTTTTTGGTTTAATACAAGGTTGAATTGTTATTGTTAAATTGGATGTCTTAAACTGTCTCTCATCTCTAATACAGTTTATCATGAGAACATTTGATACTTGTTCTGGCGGAGCTGAAATAGCACTGGGTTATTAGATCCTCCTGTCACACTCATTCGCCAGCACATGTCACTATTTGTTTGAGTTCTAATTGTGCTCCAAGGGGACTGGGTCTGTGCCACTTGGTCTGTCCTCGAGGCCTCTAACACTCGGCCCTAAGACCTTCCTTTCAGTAAGGTTATATAGGTTGTATGGGTTATATTGATTTGAATAACTGCCTGGGCATGCTTTATGTTGATAGAAATTTGAAACTCCTCCTTCATTTTCATTGGGGTTTAATCATCTTCCACCCCTACCCCTGCCCAGTAGATAATGGTTTCCCTTTTCTCTAGATGGGTTCTCTGTTTTGTGGTTTTGTCCTGATGGCCGCCTTGCCATTTTTCTGGTTGAAGTCTGCAGGTGTTTATATTTAACAGAGTTTGCTTTATTTGTTTTTTGCTATATGTCTCCCTTCCATGGAGGTGTCATTAAACATTTTTCTAAGTGCATGATTAACCAGAACCCCACCCTAAGGTTATAATACTATACTTTATTGAAAACAAGCGAAGACTGCATTTTGTCCTGATGCATTTCTTATTTTTTGAAAAGTTCTGTTACTGGGAAACACTGAATAAAGTGTCCAATTTTGTATCTTCTTTTCTTCTCTAAATTCTCCTAAAAGATACTGAATTTTGTCTTTTTTCTTCCTGTCTGTGTATTAAGTTCTGGATCCTATAGAAACTAGCTGGCACTTCTGTCCTCCTTCAAGTTATATGAACTATTGGACCATTCTCCATTTTCTCCATTTCTGTTTTCTGTTTTGATTTTTAGCTATTTCTTTGTTTGTTGAGACAGGGTCTCATACAAGCCCAAGCTGGCCTGGAACTCTATAAATCCCATGATAGTTTCAGACTAATGGCAGTCCTCCTGTGTCAACCCTCAGATACAAGGATTTTAGCTTAACCACCACCCTTAGCTGTTTTCTGCATTATTGGAGTGTGTTACCAATATGTGATTTTAGTTTTTGCCAATGAAAAGTTTTCTATGACATTTCAGGAGTTCTTGGATGTGATTTCTGCTGTACTTGATTATTTAGGTTAGCCATAAAGTCATTCCTGCATTCAAGATGAGAGTAATTAAATCCTGTCTTGATAGAAGAGGAGATTTATGCATGAAGAATGAGAAAGAAATTGAAGGTGTCTGTCTTTGGGAATGGTATACAGAATTGGAAAAGTCAGATTGCATAGAAATTCCTAGCACACTTTCACTTTCTCAATTATCAGAAGCATCTCATTGAAGCTGCTCACACTAGGGAAACAGATTTTTGTTTGAGTTCATTGTCAACTCAAACAAATTGGGCTTTTGATTGGAATCCAAACCCAGTCAATTGGCTGTAACCCATCCTTCGGTGGCTTCTCCACACCCTGTTTTAGGAATAGTATTCTGTAATTAAGTCTATTTCAGTAGAAACATCTCAAGTTTTTCCTCCTGATGGTGTCCGATTTAGATAGAGTTCAAGTTGTATGTCTGGCAGTGTGCCATCTTACCATCAGGGGTGCCTGCCCCAGTTTCCTGTGCTTACTAAAACAGATAGGATGTCACCCAGGCAAGTACAATTGAGGGAAGAAATACAATGATTATTATGAAAATTTCCATTCAAGAAAAGACTATTTAAAAGTTCCAGAGACATATTGATCTATACCAAGTCTCACATTCTGTTAGTTACCATGGCAAGGACTCCCTGAGCTAGTGGCAGTCACTTCTTTGTCAGCCAGTCTTTCCTCCCTCTCAGCTTCAGTAGCCCTCGCTTTATCCTTTGAGATGGGTACAGACCTAATACCTGAAACTCTTTTTCAAAACTGCTGTGGTTTTATTGGGGGACCATGGAGCCACCTACAGTCACACTACTTTACAGTCTAGACCGGGTATCTTCACACTAAGTGTTCTTTTCACTGATGGGCCTTTACACTGCCCGCTTTCCCTCCCTAAGCTTACTGGACATTGTCTTAGACTATTAGAAGACAATATTGAGAGGAAGCCAAACCCTCACTCTCATTTCCTCCTTGATACTATCTGCATTTGCCTGGCCTCTTACCAGTTTATCTCTTCCAAAGGCTGTGGTTTGCTATCCTCACAATGGTTTCTATTAAGAGTACTGGAAGGGCGTTTATCTTTTAATCTTCTAAAGGTCGGAATTATAGGATTATCTGGAAATACAGATGCCAAGCTGTGGAAAGAAATAACTTCTCTTCTAAAGTGGCATTTCCCCATCTGTGCTGGTAGGCCCTTCTCACTCCAGAGTTTCCTAACTGTCAAGCTGTATCCACCCAATACTCTGCCGGTTCTTGTTCTAATATTGCAGTCAGTCAGTCAGCATACAGTTGTTTCACACAGTACAACAGGTGAAAATGTAATTCTACTTTTCCCATTGTACATCAAACATAATTAGCTTTCTAGTCTAGTATCTAAAAATCCATTTTCATCTCTCCACATTCTCCATTAAGACAAATTTGCAATTTGTTATCCAGTATTTATAACAACTTCTTACAGCAATTACTAAATCAATCAAGGTAATTAGGTCCAATAGCAATACATTTAAGCTAACTTAAATTGCAAACACCTCATAAAATCTCCAGAATGGCCAGAGAGGAACCATTTTCAAAGGGGAAATTCTGCTTCCAAGCTTGTCCTTTTACTCTTGGGACATTAGAAACAGAAAAGCAGAAACAGGCTGCCCAGAAAACAGATCTTTGATATTATATGTGCTAGAAGATCTCATGTCCTTGCCTGGAGGCTGCCTCGGTTTTTTTGTTTGTTTTTGTTTGTTTGTTTTTCTATTCTGCAAGACTACTCTTGGCATTGGAAAGATACCAAGGGCTACAGTTTTTAACTTTGTACAAGCTTTAGCTTACATAAAACAGAGAAGATGAAAGAATGTAAGCATGGATGTTAGACCTTGGTATGAATGGGGGCTTCACTACATGAATGTGCTGTGCCCCACCCCTGCTGAAAAGAAATACAACATATGGCAAACACAACTGTGAAGAGACACATGAGGACAAGAGGACATCCATTGTTTACTCACCATGGGAATATGGTCACTAATTTTTTAAGCTTCTGTATCCAGCTTGGCATATTCTTGAATGCAATGACAATACAAGGTAATGAAAATAGCATTTAGCAAAGTATCTATTTGAAGTAAATTCACAATAAGTGATGGCTTTTATAATATAATATTTTTTTACTTTGAAAAAATAACTGCAGAGTTTAGTATTTCTCAACTTAAAATATTCTCTATATTGGCATAAATAGTAATCTAGATCTTTATATTTCTC